GTCCAGCACGATGGAAATTGTCGTTTCCTTACCCACAGTTGAAATTGCTTTTGTTCCGCTCAGGTTGCGATCTGCCGTTCCGTTTCATAGATGCTATTCATATCTTAAGACAAGGCTGTGGAACGCACCAGTGTATGACTTTTTCTTTAATTTTCCATTGAGGGTAAAATCATACTTTTGTTCCTTGAAATTTCGTCAGTCGAGAATAAGTGACCAGGTAATCTTAACTCTGAAACATTGCTTCATTTGGGGTCATTCTTCAAATCTGTTTTATGCATCTATCAGCAACTTTTCCCTTTTCCTGGCCAAAACATTTCTTTTGTGGAAGCGCTTTCAAGTTTCTGCTTAATATTATCTGGTGTTGCATGCTCTAATGGCTTACAGGAGTATCGTTTAAATTTAGCTACCTTTTGATCGTTATGGTTTTATTCTGTCGAGATCCATGATAGGGGTGGTGCTGGAGGATGGTGAAACGGGACATGTGGAGTTTGACGATCGAGGCGATAGAGTGGGTTCACTCTATGACATCGTCAATGTGCAACCTCGCAGTGGTTGCAAGGAGCACTCCGATTTATGCAGACCCGCTATCAATACGGTGGGAAAGTACGGACTCATGCAGGTGAGCCAATTTTATTGGCATAAACTTTACTGAAGTCTAGTTAGTACAATGTCTGTGAAGTTGAAGTGGACTGACAATGCTAATATGTCCAGAATATATCCTCAGGACTCCATTTTGTGTTTTCTTCCATTTCCAGTGAAACCCATGTGAATTAATCAGGCTTATTTTTTCACAAGTTAATATTTAGTAATTATCATCCTCGTTCCCGACGCCAACTTTTTACTGTTAAATTCCTCTTATTGTTTGGGTGAGCAGCCTCCTCTTCTACATTAAACATTTTTCGAAAACTATGGTGAGAAAAAAGCAACTTTGGGACGAATGTGATGCTTAGCCGTCTTGAATAATTTTCCACTGTATCATTCCTTGAGTTATATGCCCATACCAGCTACAAGTTAGTATCGCTAGCATTTGAGGTCCTGATTTTCTGGATTGCAGTGTTGCAATTTCTGTCCAACTTTTTTAACCAATCCAATTTTAATTTGACATGCGGTACATTTAGGTTTCTACTACCTTTTTTACTCGGCATTGACATCTGTTCAGTGCGATCAAATTTGTTACTGTTGCGCCACATCATAGTGTATCATCTGAAAACCTACAGTTTTATTTGTTATCTAGGTGCAACTTGATAGGTTTAATTAAATAAACAATGTGAACCAAAATGACTAAGGAATTTGAAAAATGAGCTACTATCATCCGTTGGTTAGATATTGCGTAACATTCGATTTTTGTACAACACTCCAAATCCTTGCTAAAATAGTATGGAAAAACCCGCTATATGCTAACGGTCAGTGGAGTTGGTGACTACCAGAATGAACGATGGATCTATGCCTCTAGCCGGAGCCGAAATAAAATCTAGGGGAACCGATTGGCCCCTGTAATCAGGCGCAGCTCAAAAAGCACGAATTTACCGTATGCCTTCGTTCCTAGCTGTGTGCTTTCAATAGCTATAAGTAGTTTGGTTTGCGAGTAGGTCTGCGGTTGCTTTTGAAAGCATTTATTAGCGCTGTACAATGCACCTCTCGAAGTCGGTTACAAATGACTGGTCAGTTCCGGTTGAAAGGCTGTGGAATGTTTTCTTGATTTAAACAAAATGATGACTGTTTTAGGGCAATAAAGTCTCCAAGTTGCCGCGACTATTAGTTGACACGGCGCATATCTACTGGCCAGGCAATTACGAGCAGAAAAAAGTGACAGATATCTGTGTAAAGAAGCACGCTCGCAAGAACGAATGCCTGGAATACGCAACTCGGCTCCTTCCACCGCCAAGTTTCAAGAAGAAGACGCATTTAAAGGTACGCCTGCCTCATTGATATCTATTTCCTTGATTCATGGAAAGGTAAAAAACTTCATTTCGATACCTCAGTGAGTTTTCCTTTGTAATGGACGGAGAAGGCGAAACTGTGTCGCCATCGGATTTTATGCGCCTTAAGGGGAGATTGTTGTCATATGCCTTCGTTACCAACCTCCATATCAGCTTC